CACGGAAGGGAGAGAGCAGTCTGTCGAGGCAAGACGCGTCACATTCTTTCTGCTTTTGAATTGATCAGGAGACTTAGCAGGAACTTTGACTGATTAGGGAGAGTGATTGAGAGACTATTTGGCGCACCTTCCCGCGGGAGCTCTTTTTTTTGTGAGAGTTTGTTTTTTTTCAAGAGTTTTGGAGAGACAGACGAGCCGTCGCGGCGATGAGGAAAAAGGTGGACGCGAGGATTCGAACCCTCGTCGAGAATGGCGTCAAGTCTCGTCAGCGGTCCATGTTCGTGATCGTGGGGGATAAGGGCCGCGAGCAGGTGAGGGACTAGGACGATCGCGAATCTATCTCAGTCATGATTAGGGTTTCGGGTCCATGTTTGTGATTGGAAGCGAGCTTAGTCCCAGCATCTCTCCAAGTTCGTAATTCTGGGGGACAAGGGATAAGAGCAGGTTTGGATTTTAGTCGCTAAACTAATACGCTTCGTCTTTTCTCTGACGTCTTGAACTGAGCCGTAACTGTGAGACGGGATTTTTTTTTAACTCTTTCTTGAATCCCTAGGCAGCTAACTCCTGATTTGCCTTAGAACCCGGAACCCAGCTAGGTCGTGTGTTCGCCGGGTATGGATATCTCCTGGGAGTGACTGTAACGCGACAATGCTGTAGCCTGGTACGGCCATACTGTAACCAATGTGACTGTATCCGGATACTACTGTACCCCGATGTGACTGAAACAGGTGGTGAATCTCCACTACATGCTCTCCAAGGCCGTGGTCAAGGCGAGACCCAACGTGCTCTGGTGCTACAAGAAGGACCTTTTCCTTAGCAGGTATTTCTAGGGGTTTAGAGGTTTGGGTTGGGAGGGGAAGGGGGGGGGAAGGAGGAAGGGGGGATATGGAGGGTTGAGGGTTTGGGCTACAGGGATTTCCTTTTTTTTTCAGCAGGTAACTGCGGGTAGGGTTAGAGGGTTCGGGGGAATGGGGAAATAGAAAAAGGGGGTTTGTGAAGGGTTGAGCAAGTGTTCACACAGGAGAAGGGCGCAGGGGTTAGGGTTTGAAGGCTCATGCTGCCCAGTTGTCTGTCCTGATGAAAGAAGATGATGCAGCGGGGGCTGCTGGACCTTGAATAGGAGGACCCACTCATTCCGCTAATCTCTTATGCCCCGCCCCCCCCCACCTCCCCTTTCGTAATCCCCAGCAACCGGAAAAAAGGGATGCGGCAGATGAAGAAGATGATGCAGAGGGGGCTGCTGGACCCTGAGAAGGAGGATCGCTCCATTCCCCTCATCTCTTGTCCCCTTTCCTCCCCTTACGCCAACCCCCCGCCTTCACAGCAACCGGAAAAAACGCATGAGGCAGATGAAGAAGATGATGCAGCGAGGGCTGCTGGACCCTGAGAAGGAGGATCCATTCGCTCTCTTTATGGCCTCTACGGCCATCCGCTACTGCTACTACGCAGAGACGCACAAGATCCTCGGAAACACCTTCGGCATGTGTGTGCTGCAGGTAAGGCTTGCTTCATGCGTGCACAGACGCTGCATGCCAGATGATGCAGCGGGGCCTGCTGGACCCTGAGAAGGAGGACTCGTTTGCTCTCTTCATGGCATCTACGGCCATCCGCTACTGCTACTATGCTGAGACGCATAAGATCCTCGGAAACGCCTTCGGCATGTGCGTGCTGCAGGTACGTGCCCTGAGGGTTGGGGCTGCGTGTTCCCCATCTCACCCCTGTGGGGTGGGGATGTGTTTGCCTCCTCACCTCACCCCACGCCCCCCACCATAGCCTGTAAGGAGGATCCGTTCGCTCTCTTCATGGCCTCCACTGCCATCCGCTACTGCTACTACTCGGAGACGCACAAGATTGATGGAAACACATTCTCTCCTTTCATCTCCCTTCCTCTCCTTTCATCTCCCTTCCTCTCCTTTCATCTCCCTTCCTCTCCTTTCGTCTCCTCTCTTCTCCTCTCCTCTCTTCTCCTCTCCTCTCCTCTCCTCTCTTCTCTTCTCCTCTCCTCTGCTCTGCTCTCCTCTCCTCTCTTCTCCTCTCCTCTCCTCTGCTCTCCTCTGCTCTCCTCTCCTCTCCTCTCCTCTCCTCTCCTCTGCTCTCCTCTGCTCTCCTCTGCTCTCCTCTCCTCTCCTCTCTTCTCCTCTCCTCTCCTCTCCTCTCCTCTCCTCTGCTCTCCTCTGCTCTCCTCTGCTCTCCTCTGCTCTCCTCTGCTCTCCTCTCCTCTCCTCTCCTCTCCTCTCTTCTCCTCTCCTCTGCTCTCCTCTCCTCTCCTCTCTTCTCCTCTCCTCTCCTCTCCTCTCCTCTGCTCTCCTCTGCTCTCCTCTCCTCTCCTCTGCTCTCCTCTGCTCTCCTCTCCTCTCCTCTGCTCTCCTCTGCTCTCCTCTGCTCTCCTCTCCTCTCCTCTCTTCTCCTCTCCTCTCCTCTGCTCTCCTCTGCTCTCCTCTGCTCTCCTCTGCTCTCCTCTGCTCTCCTCTGCTCTCCTCTGCTCTCCTCTGCTCTCCTCTGCTCTCCTCTCCTTTCAACCCCACACGGCAGGATTTTGAGGCCCTGACGCCCAACCTGCTGGCGCGCACGATAGAGACGGTGGAGGGCGGGGGGATCATCGTGCTGCTGCTCTCCTCCCTCACCTCCCTCTCCCGCCTCTTCACCCTCGCCATGGTACGTGCTGCTGCCCTGCTGCCCTGCTGCGCTGCTGCCCTGCTGCCCTGCTGCCCTGCTGCCCTGCTGCACTTCTGCGCTGCTGCCCTGCTGCCCTGCTGCCCTGCTGCCCTGCTGCGCTGCTGCCCTGCTGCGCTGCTGCCCTGCTGCGCTGCTGCCCTGCTGCCCTCATCGTCTCTCACCCTCTCAACTTCTCTGCTGCTGCTCCCGTTCCTCACCTCGCTCTCTCGCCTCTTCACCCGCGCCATGGTACATACCTCCCCTTACTCACCTCGTGCTTTTGAGTCACCTCTGGTTCTCCTATTCCTTCATCCCTTTTGGAAAATCTCTAAAGTGCTCTCGAGTCACCTCTGCTTCTCCTATACCTTGACTCATTCCTGCTAAACCAATCGTGTCCTTCCCCCCCCAACACACACACAGGACGTGCACGCACGCTACCGTACTGAGTCCCACGGGGATGTGGTGGGGCGCTTCAACGAGCGCTTCATCCTCTCCCTCGCCTCCTGCCCCACGTGCTGTGTCATGGACGATGAGCTCAACATCCTGCCCTTGTCCTCCCACATGCGCCATCTCCAACCGTCTCCATTCACAGAGGTCAGTCAGTGCCCCTCCTTCCCTTCCACTCACTGAGATACAGGCCAGCCAGTCTAGCCTCCTGCCCCACGTGCTGTGTGATGGGCGACGGGCTTCCTGCCTCTGTCTTCCCACATGTGACATCTTCAGCCGTCGCCCCTCACAGAGGTGAGTGCCCCTCTTCCCCCTTCAATCCAACTCACAGAGGTAAGGGTTAGCCAGGGTGAGTCACCATCCCCACACTGCCTCCTGCCCCACGTGCTGTGTCATGGACGACGAGCTCAACATCCTGCCACTCTCTTCTCATATAGGCATCTGCAGCCGTCACCGCTCACAGAGGTCAGTGCCCCTGCCACACCAAGGTAAGCGCCAGCCAGGCAGGATAAGTGAGTCCCTCGCCTCCTGCCTTCTCATATGAGGCACCTTCAGCCTTCTCCGCTTACAGAGGTCAGTAAGTCCTTGTCAGTGCCCACTGTCAGTCAGTGCCCTCTCCATCAGTGCCCACTGTCAGTCAGTGCCCTCTCCATCAGTGCCCTCTCCATCAGTGCCCTCTCCAGCAGTGCCCTCTCCATCAGTGCCCTCTCCATCAGTGCCCTCTCCAGCAGTGCCCTCTCCATCAGTGCCCTCTCCATCAGTGCCCTCTCCATCAGTGCCCTCTCCATCATTGCCCTCTCCATCAGTGCCCTCTCCATCAGTGCCCTCTCCATCAGTGCCCTCTCCATCAGTGCCCTCTCCATCAGTGCCCTCTCCATCAGTGCCCTCTCCATCAGTGCCCTCTCCATCAGTGCCCACAGTGCCCCACGTGCTTCCTTTCCCCACCTGCCCACCTGCCCACCTGCCCACCCACCCCAACCCAGGGAGAGGCAGTGGAATCAGAATCCGACCGGGAGTTGTGTGAGCTGAAGGAGTCCCTAGCCGTCACACAGCTAGTGGGGGCGCTGGAGGCTTTTGAGTCAACTCAAAAGCCCGTGGGGCCGCTGGTGGCCACGTGCCTCTGTCGGAGGTGACTTTTGAGTCGATTCAAAAGCCACCTCGCTGGTGGCCACGTGCCTCTGTTCTTCCCGCCCCTTCCCACCTGCCCAACTTCCCTCTTTCTCACGTATCAACCCGCAACAACAGGGCGAGGCGGTGAAATTGGAATCTGACAGGGAGGTGAAGGAAGGAAGTCTAGGAGTCGCTTGCCGACCCACAGCCAATGGGGGCGCTGGTGGCCACGTGTGGCGCGCTGGACCAAGCCAAGGCCCATGCCTTTTCCCCATAACCCCCGCCCTCATTTCCCCGTCCGTCCGCAGGGAGAGGCATTGGAATCAGAGTCAGACAGGGAGCTGAAGGAAGTCTAGGAGTCGCTTGCCGACACACAGCCAGTGTCGGCCATGCCCCCATACCCACTGCTTCCGTACTCCCCTCCCCCATTTCTCCTTTCTTCCATAGGGCGACGCAGTGGAGTCAGAATCTGACAGGGAGTTAAGGAGCTCAAGGAGTCCCTAGCCGACACACAGCCCGTGGGGGCGCTGGTGGCCACGTGTAGCGCGCTGAGGTGACTTTTGAGTCGACTCAAAAGCCGACACACAGCCCGTGGGGGCGCTGGTGGCCACGTGTGGCGTGCTGAGGTGACTTTTGAGTCGACTCAAAAGCCGACACACAGCCCGTGGGGGCGCTGGTGGCCACGTGTCGCACGCTGGACCAGGCCAAGGCAGTGGTGACATGCCGTGAGTCACGAGCCTATGCCTTTTCCCCATACCCCGCTCCCTCATTCCATGCTTCCTCCCCAGGCCGAGGCAGTGGAGTCCGAGTCTGACAGGGAGTTGAAGGAGCTTAAGGAGTCTCTGGCAGACACACAGCTACCATGAGTCACTAGCCCATGCCCTTCCCCATACCCCTCCCAACCGCATACACTCCATTCCATCCCAGGGCGAGGCAGTGGAGTCGGAATCCGACAGGGAGTTGAAGGAGCTCAAGGAGTCGCTAGCAGACACCCAGCCAGTGGGGGCGCTGGTGGCCACGTGTCGCACGCTGGACCAGGCCAAGGCAGTGGTGACGTTCCTTGATGCTGTGTCTGAGAAGACTCTGAGATCTACCGTGGCGATCACTGCTGCCAGAGGAAGGGGGAAATCCGCTTCTCTTGGTGTCGCTGTGGCTGGTGCCGTGGCGCTGGGGTGAGTGGGTGTTGGGAGGGGTTGGAAGGGTTGATTTGTTTGGTTTTGAATAGAGGCATCGAGTGGGGTAGGGTGGGGTGGTGTGGGGTCGATGGGCTGGTTGGAGGACCAGGCCAAGGCAGTGGTGACGTTCCTGGATGCTGTCTCTGAGAAGACTCTGAGGTCGACTGTTGCGATCACGGCTGCCAGAGGCAGGGGGAAATCCGCTGCGCTGGGCGTGGCTGTGGTGTGGCAGGGGCCATGGCGCTGGGGTGAATGGTTTGGAAGGGGTTGAGATAGGTTGGGTGCGGTGGAAGGAGGGATGGGTTGGTGTAGAAGACTCTGAGGTCGACTGTTGCGATCACTGCTGCCAGAGGAAGGGGGAAATCCGCTTCTCTTGGTGTCGCTGTGGCTGGTGCCGTGGCGCTGGGGTAAGTGTGGTTGGAAGGGGTTGGGATGGATGGGCCAGGGTGGGATTGAAAGATGGGTTGTAGACGGTGGTGACCCTTCTCTGTGCCGTCTCTGAATGAGAAGACTTTGCAATCGACGGCTGCCATGCCATCGCTGGCAGGTCTTCTGAGAATCACTGCAGCATTGCATCGCACACTCCTCTTCAGCCTCTAACCAAGCCACCCCCCTCTCTCCCCCTTTCCCCCCCTCCCCCTCTCTGCAGCTACTCCAACATATTCGTGACGGCGCCGAGCCCGGAGAATCTGAAGACACTGTTTGAGTTTGTGTTCAAGGGCTTTGACGCCATCGGGTACAAGGTCGGTCAGTTTCATTGTCCTCTAGTAGTTTTCCTTGGTTGGGTGATGCCATCGGGTACAAGGTAAGGCACGCAAGGGCTTTGATGCCATCGGGTACAAGGTGGGTCAGTTTCAGATTTCCCGGGTTGGGTAATACACAGAAATATCTACTCACCTCGCGCAGATTTGATCAACCTTCTCAGGGGTCACCCTGACTCATGTTTCGAAGGGCTGCAGTAGCAGATTTGATCAACCTTCTCAGGGGTCACCCTGACTCATGTTTCGAAGGGCTGCAGTAGCAGATTTGATCAACCTTCTCAGGGGTCACCCTGACTCATGTTTCGAAGGGCTGCAGTAGCAGATTTGATCAACCTTCTCAGGGGTCACCCTGACTCATGTTTCGAAGGGCTGCAGTAGCAGATTTGATCAACCTTCTCAGGGGTCACCCTGACTCATGTTTCGAAGGGCTGCAGTAGCAGATTTGATCAATCTTCTCAGGGGTCACCCTGACTCATGTTTCGAAGGGCTGCAGTAGCAGATTTGATCAACCTTCTCAGGGGTCACCCTGACTCATGTTTCGAAGGGCTGCAGTAGCAGATTTGATCAACCTTCTCAGGGGTCACCCTGACTCATGTTTCGAAGGGCTGCAGTAGCAGATTTGATCAACCTTCTCAGGGGTCACCCTGACTCATGTTTCGAAGGGCTGCAGTAGCAGATTTGATCAACCTTCTCAGGGGTCACCCTGACTCATGTTTCGAAGGGCTGCAGTAGCAGATTTGATCAACCTTCTCAGGGGTCACCCTGACTCATGTTTCGAAGGGCTGCAGTGCAGTAGCAGATTTGATCAACCTTCTCAGCGGTCACCCTGACTCATGTTTCGAAGGGCTGCAGTAGCAGATTTGATCAACCTTCTCAGGGGTCACCCTGACTCATGTTTCGAAGGGCTGCAGTAGCAGATTTGATCAACCTTCTCAGGGGTCACCCTGACTCATGTTTCGAAGGGCTGCAGTAGCAGATTTGATCAACCTTCTCAGGGGTCACCCTGACTCATGTTTCGAAGGGCTGCAGTGCAGTAGCAGATTTGATCAACCTTCTCAGGGGTCACCCTGACTCATGTTTCGAAGGGCTGCAGTAGCAGATTTGATCAACCTTCTCAGGGGTCACCCTGACTCATGTTTCGAAGGGCTGCAGTGCAGTAGCAGATTTGATCAACCTTCTCAGGGGTCACCCTGACTCATGTTTCGAAGGGCTGCAGTAGCAGATTTGATCAACCTTCTCAGGGGTCACCCTGACTCATGTTTCGAAGGGCTGCAGTAGCAGATTTGATCAACCTTCTCAGGGGTCACCCTGACTCATGTTTCGAAGGGCTGCAGTAGCAGATTTGATCAACCTTCTCAGGGGTCACCCTGACTCATGTTTCGAAGGGTTGCAGTAGCAGATTTGATCAACCTTCTCAGGGGTCACCCTGACTCATGTTTCGAAGGGCTGCAGTAGCAGATTTGATCAACCTTCTCAGGGTTCACCCTGACTCATGTTTCGAAGGGCTGCAGTGCAGTAGCAGATTTGATCAACCTTCTCAGGGGTCACCCTGACTCATGTTTCGAAGGGCTGCAGTAGCAGATTTGATCAACCTTCTCAGGGGTCACCCTGACTCATGTTTCGAAGGGCTGCAGTAGCAGATTTGATCAACCTTCTCAGGGGTCACCCTGACTCATGTTTCGAAGGGCTGCAGTAGCAGATTTGATCAACCTTCTCAGGGGTCACCCTGACTCATGTTTCGAAGGGCTGCAGTAGCAGATTTGATCAACCTTCTCATCGGGGATTGTTGTCAATCGATTTCCTACCTATCCTCCCTCCCCACTCTCCTTGCTCCAGGAGCACATAGACTACGAGCTCGTGGAGAGCAGCAACCCCGCCTTCAACCAGCTCCCTATACCCCCCCTTCCGTTGCGTCCCTTTCCTTAACACACACTACCCCCTTCCCCTTCCCACGCCCCCTCTGTGCTGTGCAACAGGAGCACATAGACTACGAGCTCGTTGAAAGCACCAACCCCGCCTTCAACCGCGCCATCGTGCGAGTGAACGTGTTCCACCAGCACCGGCAGACCATTCAGGTGTGTGTGAGGGGGGATCCTGGCCTGTAGGCTGGAGGTGGGACCATCCAGGTGGGTTCAACGGGGTGCGAGGTGGTTGAGTCAGTCAGTTCCAGCACACGTGGAGTGGAAACTTTTGAGAATTCTCAAAAGTAGCACACGTGGAGTGGAGAGCACCAACCCCGCCTTCAACCGGGCCATCGTGCGAGTGAACGTGTTCCACCAGCACCGCCAGACCATTCAGGTGAGAGCTTGTCCTTGTGGTCAGCGAAGGAGCTCAAATGGGTTCAAGGCGGTTGAATCAGTCCCAGCACATGTGGAGAGCACCAACCCGGCTTTCAACCGCGCCATCTTGCGAGTGAACGTGTTTCACCAGCACACGCAGACCATTCAGGTGCTTGAGGGCCATGCAGGTTGGGGTGCAAGGAGCAATGCGCCTGGTTGCCTGCCTTGTCCACTCACCTTCTCCATTTCAACCCCCGCCCACCCACCCCACCCCACCCCAGCCCCCATTCAGTACGTGATGCCACAGCACGCGGAGCGAGTGCAGAAGGCGGAGCTGCTGGTGATCGACGAGGCAGGCAAGGCAACTGCCACTGCCACCCCCCTCTGCCCGATATCGTCTCTCCCGTCTCCATGTTCGCCCTTTTTCCTCTCTTCCTCCCCCCCTCCCCCCCATGCAGTACGTGATGCCACAGCACGCAGAGCGAGTGCAGCAGGCGGAGCTGCTCGTGATCGACGAGGCAGCAGCCATCCCGCTGCCCATGGTCAAGGCGCTCCTGGGACCGTACCTCGTGTTCATGGGCTCGACTGTTAACGGGTACGTGCTATGTGTTGGTAATGGGTTACCCTGTATGGGGTACGGTGAGGCAGCAGCAGCCATCCCCCTACCCATGGTCAAGGCGCTGCTGGGGCCCTATCTGGTCTTCATGGCCCATGGGCTCTACTGTTAACGGGTACATATGCAAGGGGTTAGTTTGTAAGGGGTACAGGAAGCAGGCAGCAGCCATCTTCCTTGTGAGGCGCCTCAAAAGATGACCTAAGGGGTACAGGAAGCAGGCAGCAGCCATCTCCCTGCCCATGGTCAAGGCGCTTCAGTGGCCGTGCCTTGTTTTCATGGGCTCCAGTGTTGACGGGTATGTCTTTTAGTGGATTGCTCTGTAAGGGGTATGGCGAGCACCCAGCCAACCCCCTGCCCATGGTCAAGAGTCGCTATTTCCCTCCCAGTTGCTCAAGGAACCGTGTTCAATGTGCCTCATGAGTCCAAAGAGGTGATTTTTGAGTCGACTCAAAAGTCCCCTCCCAGTTGCTCAAGGAACCGTGTTCAACGTGCCTCATGGGGCCCCTCTCCCAACTAGGGGTGAGCAAAAAAACGAACACCTGTTCGGTTCGCCTCGAACACGTTCGAGGCGAACCGAACAGGTTTGTTTTTTTGGCTTAAAGTGTTCGCCGAACAGTGTTCGAGGTTCGCCCGAACACGTTCGTGTTCGGGCCTCTGCTGCAATTTGCCCTGCGACGAACGCGAACGTGTTCGAGGTTCGCCCGAACACGCCTTCACAGGCGAACGGCGAACGCCTGTTTTTGCTAAAGGTGTTTGCCGAACCAAACAGTGTTCGGTTCGGCAAGCGGCTGTGTTCGTGTAGAGGCGAACACGAACGTGTTCGTGTTCGCCCCTTGCTCACCCCTACTCCCAACCACGTGCCCCACCTCTCCATACAGCTACGAGGGCACGGGGTGGTCCCTCTCCCTGAAGCGCATCCAGCAACTCAGAGAGCAATCTAAAAGAGCCACCGCTGTTGCCATCCCCTCTTCCCTCCCCCACCTCCCCCCACCTCCCCCAACCACCTACAGCTACGAGGGCACAGGACGATCCCTCTCCCTGAAGCTCATCCAGCAACTCAGAGAGCAATCCAAAGGGGGGCAGTTCGGTATGCGGAGGGGGACCCTGCAGCGTCATTCACCCCCTCTCCACTCGCCTTCCCCCCTCCCCTCCCCCACCTACAGCTATGAGGGCACGGGGCGGTCCCTCTCCCTGAAGCTCATCCAGCAACTCAGAGAGCAATCCAAAGGGGCCGCCGCCGCTGGCGCTGCTGGTGCTGCTGCTGGTGTTGCAACCACTGATGGTGGCGGCAGTGGTGGGGGAGGTGGAGTGTCGGTGCGGGTGCTGAGGGAGGTGGAGCTACAGGAGCCGATCCGGTATGCGGAGGGGGATCCCGTGGAGAAATGGCTCAACCACCTGTTGTGCTTGGACGCTACCTCCCATGTTCCGAAGCTGCAAGCCCGGTGAGAAATAAGCTCGTTGAGGCACAGGCTGGGGAAGGTGTAGTAAAGAAAGGGTGGGTGTGCGAGTGCTGAGGGAGGTGGAGTGTCGGTGCGAGTGCTGAGGGAGGTGGAGCTACAGGAGCCGATCCGGTATGCGGAGGGGGATCCCGTGGAGAAATGGTTGAACCACCTGCTGTGCCTCGACGCCACCTCCCATGTTCCGAAGCTACAGGCACGGTAAGACTCAGGTTCGGGAAGGTGCGGTAACTGGGGGCTTGTAGTAGTGCGGGTGGGTGCTGCTGAGGGAGGTGGAGTTACGGAGCTGATCCGGTATGCGGCAGGGGGCCCTGCCCTGGAGCGACGTGTAAAAAGGGTATATTTGAGACGTCTCACAAATGGTTGAACCACCTGCTGTGCCTCGACGCCACCTCGCATGTGCCCAAGCTGCAGGCTCGGTAGGTGCTAGGCTCGGAAATCCACGGGCTTGGTAAGAACTTAGGCTTGGTGAATTTCAGACCTGCAGTCCCAGACGTGTCTGCTCCCCTTCCACTCCCTTCCTTTCCCCACCGTTGCCCGTCCCACATGCGCACTGTTTTCTCGCAGGATGCCGCTCCCAGACGAGTGAGGAGATTAGGAAGAGATTAGGAAGAGATTAGGACGAGATTAGGACGAGATTAGGACGAGATTAGGACGAGATTAGGACGAGATTAGGACGAGATTAGGACGAGATTAGGACGAGATTAGGACGAGATTAGGACGAATTACCTGTTGGATCCAGGTCGAAACTGTTTTTTCTGCGCACTGTTTTCTCGCAGGATGCCGCACCCAGCCCAGACGAGTGCGAGCTGTTGTACGTCAATTGAGACACTCTCCTTCCACTCCTTGCTGCTCCCCTGCTCTCAACCCGCTCGTCCCCATTTCCCCACCTCATTCCCCCACGTTGCCCTTCCCACAAGCGCAATGTTTTCTCGCAGCATGCCGCACCCAGACGAGTGTGGATTCTTCTACGTCAACCGAGACACGCTCTTCTCCTCTCCTTTCACTCCTTGCTGCTCTCCTGCTGTTTTTCCCCCACCCTCACCTCACCCCCTCTCCACCTCCCAGCATGCCGCACCCAGACGAGTGTGAATTGTTCTACGTCAACCGAGACACGCTCTTCTCCTTCCACCCCTGCTGCTCCCCTGCTCCCGTTCCCTCACTCAACCGTGCCCCCCCCCCCACGTGTACCCTGTTCCCCCCAACCTGCCAGCATGCCGCATCCAGACGAGTGTGAGCTGTTCTACGTCAACCGAGACACGCTCTTCTCCTTCCACTCCGCCTCAGAGCTCTTCCTTCAGGTGCTTCTCTTCCTTCAGGTGCTTCTCTTCCTTCAGGTGCTTCTCTTCCTTCAGGTGCTTCTCTTCCTTCAGGTGCTTCTCTCCCTTCAGGTGCTTCTCTTCCTTCAGGTGCTTCTCTTCCTTCAGGTGCTTCTCTCCCTTCAGGTGCTTCTCTTCCAACACTTTTTTTTTTCCTTTTGGTCACTCAGTGAAGTCTTGATCAGTGAAGTCTTGATCAGTGAAGTCTTGATCCTGTTTCGTGTTTCGGTCTGAGACAAGGATTCCGTTCAGGTCTGTAAGTCCTGTGATGAACCGGCTACTCTTCGGGGTGGGTTTTGAGTCAACTCTTAAGTCAACTCAAAAGTCAACTTTTTCCACGACCTTCTTGCCCATGTCACTCTTGCCCATGTCAATTCCGGGCCTGGTTTACAGAAGCTAACATTTCCTTGCACACCCTGCCTCGCCCCCTCTCCTTTCTCTCTTCTTTTGGATCTTTGTGTGGTATGTGTGACAGAGGATGATGGCGCTATACGTGTCCTCTCACTACAAGAACACTCCAAACGACCTGCAGCTCATGTCCGATGCACCAGCCCACCACCTTTTCGTCCTTCTGGGTACGCCTCGCCTCCTGCTATAACAGCGTACATAGCATTCCAGCTCAAGGAAACTTTTGGAGGAAATGATCCTCTTCACGGAGCTGCGAGACGTCTTTTGAGTCGACTTAAAAGTATTTTTGAGAATTCTCAAAAATACTCTGCAACACCTCCTGCTATGAAGGCGTACACAGCATTCCAGCTCGAGGATACTCTCGAGGAAATGATCCTCTTCACGGAGCTGCGAGACGTCTTTTGAGTCGACTTAAAAAGTCACCTCCTGCTATGAAGGTGTACACAGCAAGCATTCCAGCTCGAGGAAACTTTTGAGGAAATGATCCTGTTCACGGAGCTGCGAGTCGTCTCAATCTCAAAGCCCGTCTCACACTAGAGCGTGCGACGGGCATTGAGATTGAGAAGAACTAGAGCGTGCGTGCTCGGAAGAACTTTGCAATACTCCCGTCTCCCTTCTCTCTTGCACCCCCCCGAATTTCTCTCCCGCACCTCTTGTTCTCACACGCTCATTCGGTCCCGCTCCTGGTTGACTTTTGAGTCGACTCAAAAGTCAACTCTCCCGCACCTCTTGTTCTCACACGCTTATTCGGTCCCGCTCCTGGGCCTGACATTCGCTTGTCGCTTTAGGGAAGTCTGGTCCTTCCTAACACGCTTCATTCCCAAACCAGACTGACATTCACAAACCCCCTTCTGTCCTTCTCTCTCTGCTATCCACTCCCCATCCCTGTGCTTTTGCAGGCCCAGTGGACGAGTCCCAAACGTCTCTGCCTGATGTGCTGTGTGTGCTACAGGTAAGCCTCTCTAACATGACTCATAGCAACCTTGAGCCTTCAGGGGTAGGTGATGAGGGTACAGCCAAAGAAAGAGACCTGAAGTGCAGAGCAGCAGACACCTTGAAGTCTGGTTTTAACAGACCAGAATCGACCTTGGAGGGATTTATCCTGTCACATGCACTTGCCTCTCTCTCTCACCCGCCCTTCCTCTCCGTCTTCCCATTACTTTCTGATCACTCGGCTCTATTCCCTCCTCCCTCTTCTCTCTTCTCCTATCGCCTCTCTCCTCTCTCCTCTCACCTCTTTCCACTCTTCCCTCCCCTCTCCCCTCTCTCCCCACTCTTTCCCCCTCCCTGCTCTCCGCACCAGGTGTGTCTAGAGGGGGAGATATCAAGGGCATCAGCGCTCAAGGGCCTCTCCCAGGGTCATCAGCCCACGGGCGATCAGTTCCCCTGGACGATTTCCCAGCAGTTCCAGGACTCCCACCCACTTCCCCTCTCTCTCTCTCCTCTCTCCGCTCCTCACTGCTCAATGCTCTTTTCGATTTCCTCTCTCCACGCATCCCTCTGCCCTCCGTGCCAGGTGTGTCTAGAGGGAGAAATATCAAGGGCATCGGCATTGAAGGGCCTCTCCCAGGGACATCAGCCCACAGGCGATCTGCTGCCCTGGACGCTCTCCCAGCAGTTCCAGGACTCCGAGTTCCCCTCCCTCTCCGGCGCTCGGGTGGTCCGGATCGCCGTTCATCCCGACCTGATGCACGCGGGATACGGATCCAGAGCCGTTGATCTGCTGTCAAGGTGATGATGCAATCTGAGCCGCTGATCCGCATCCAAGTCATGCCTCCAGCCTCCAGGCCATCTCAGCCTCCTCTCTGAGTCATGTTTTCTGCATTCTTAAGTTTCCTATCTGGTGTTGATGATATTTCTCATGTCTCGGTGCGCACAGGTACTATGAGGGTCAGTTGACAAGCATGGGGGAGGAGAACGAGGAGGAGAGCGAGGGGGAGAGAGCAACAAGGTAGAGAAAGGGGAATGACTCTCTTAGAGGCGCCTCAAAGTTTTTTCTCTTTCATTCCTCACTTTTGTTGGTGTTTGCAGGTACTATGAGGGGCAGTTGACGAGCATGGGAGAGGATAGCGAGGAGGAGAGCGAGGAGGAAGAGGAAGGCGGGAAGCGACACTCCAAGGCTGTTCAAGAGGCTCGGGAGAATGGATCGGTACGGTACAGGGTATTGGTTGGTTTGGTATGATAATCGCTTTCGATTCTTATGAATATGATTTCTCGAATGATCGTCCAATGCGGAAGACGCATTTTGTGATGCCAATACCTTCTGTTTTCTTCTGTGACATTCCCCGTGCTTGGATTCGTGTCGTATAGTTTGGCGGGTTGGGTGCACTGCTTGGATTGGATTGCTTTGATTGCTTGAGTGTGGGTGTTTATCCGAAATGTTGTTAACCCTGCTACTCCCCCTGTCACCCCCCTGCTACTCCCCCTGTCACCCCCCTGCTACTCCCCCTGTCACCCCCCTGCTACTCCCCCTGTCACCCCCCTGCTACTCCCCCTATCACCCCCCTGCTACTCCCCCTGTCACCCCCCTGCTACTCCCCCTGTCACCCCCCTGCTACTCCCCCTGTCACCCCCCTGCTACTCCCCCTGTCACCCCCCTGCTACTCCCCCTGTCACCCCCCTGCTACTCCCCCTGTCACCCCCCTGCTACTCCCCCTGTCACCCCCCTGCTACTCCCCCTGTCACCCCCCTGCTACTCCCCCTGTCACCCCCCTGCTACTCCCCCTGTCACCCCCCTGCTACTCGCCCGCCCCCATCCTCCCCCCTCCCTTCACCTCCCCAGGCGTCACTTCTGGAGGAGCAGTTGTCGCCGCGCTCGGGCCTGCCACCACTGCTACAGCTAATGAGGGGGAGAGTTGACTCAAGTAGCCCCATCGCCCTACTCCCCAACCCCACCGCCCTACTCCCTCCACCCTCTTTCCCCCAGGGATCATTGTTGGAGGAGCAATTGGCTCCACGCTCGGGACTGCCGCCGCTGCTGCAGCCGGTGGGAGAGAGGCGGCAGGAGCAGCTGCACTACGTGGGCGTGTCGTTTGGGCTGGGGCAGCAGCTCTTCAACTTCTGGCGCCGGCAGGCGTTCGTTCCGCTCTATGTCAGACAGACACCGGTGAGCAAGTACTACAGGACCACACAGCAGGGCTGTCGATTGCAGGGCGTTTGCCCTGCTGGACCTTGAATTCCAGGGCTGGGTTGCCATTGAAAACTGAAATTGATGGGTTGGAGATATTCTGGCCCTGATTCTTTACAGGGCTGATTTTGGGCTTAGGCCTGGAAGGAAAAGGGTAGATTTTAGGCGAGACCTGGAACAAAATCTTTCGAGCCCCCCCTCCCCCCCAACACTCCTCCCTCTCCTCTCCCCTTCGTTTCTAACCTGATTGCATCCAACCTGGTTGGGCCACAAATTCAACTCAACCTGGAACTTGTGCTTAAACCAATCACAACTTGCTCTCTGTGGAGTGGGTGGACGGTTAAGGTTGGGTAGAAGTGCACAAGATCATCGGTTCTGCAAAGGATAGGAAGCCTGCAAAGCGTGCGTAGTGATATGGCGCTAACTAATTGCGTGCTATATATGTCGTGCTTGCTTGCTTGTGGTTCATCTCAAACGTAATTGTAAGCTTGGTAGTTGAAATGAGGCTCCAGTCCAGAATTTTCCGCGCCAAACCTGATTCAAGGGAGGAAATTTTTCCATGCTTGAAGCCTAAAGGGCCGATATTCGCCCCAACCCTGCTAAATACAGGGTCATACATGACGGGCTCCCTGATTTGTCCGGGGGGCCCAAAACGAAACGACAAGCCTGCCGTACAGCATCGCGCCGCACCGCACAGCACCACACGGCACAGTGCGGCAGGAGAAGCTGTACTATGTGGGTGTGTCGTTTGGGCTGGAGCAGCAGCTCTTCAACTTCTGGCGCCGGCAACAATTCTCCTGTGATGTCGCTCCTGTGATGTCAGAGTCGAGTTTTGAGTCGACTCAAAACTCGACTTCTGGCACCGGCAACAACTCTCCTGTGATGTCAGAGTCGAGTTTTGAGTCGACTCAAAGCTCGACTTCTGGCGCCGGCAACAACTACCCTGTGATGTCAGAGTCGAGTTTTGAGTCGACTCAAAACTCAACTTCTGGCGCCGGCAAAAACTCTCCTGTGATGTCAGAGCGACATCACAGGAGAGCACACGTGCATCATGCTCAAGCCCTTCCGAGTGATGGCTGGGGCCCTAGAGCCTCTTGATTGTCCTCTGCTTCTCCTCTTCTCCTCTATTCCCTTCTTCCCCTGCCACACCAGAGCGACATCACAGGAGAGCACACGTGCATCATGCTCAAGCCCCTCCGGAACGAGGACTTGGGTGCGGCTGACGCCAAGGACTCGTGGCTTGCATCCTTCTCTCAAGGTTGGTGGGCTCTGGGATTGAGGTTTGGTGGGTTGTGGGGGCGAGCACACGTGCGTGCATCATGCTCAAGCCCCTTCGGAGTGACGACTTGGGCCCAGCAGACTCCAAGGACTCGTGGCTTGGCTCCTTCTCTCAAGGTTGGTGTGCTGTTGTTGAGATGAGGTTTGGTGGATTGTGGGGGCAAGCACGCGTGCATCATGCTCAGCTCAAGCCTCCCCGGAACAAGGACTCGTGGCTTGGCTCCTTCTCTCAAGGTTGGTTGGGGGACTTCTGGGGGTGAGTGAGTGAGTGAGCGAGTGAATGAGTGAGCGAGCGAGTGAGTGAGTGAGTGAGTGCGTGAGTGAGTGTGTGTGTTTAGGGTGAGGGAGCCAATGACTGAGTCTGATGTCCTCTTTCCAATTCACCTCCTCTTCCTTGTCTCCCACCCTCCACCCACCAGACTTCCACCGTCGCTTCCTGTCTCTCCTCGGTTTCTCCTTCAGGCCCCTGCCGCCCGCCCTCTGCCTCAGGTACGCTGCACTCTCTTTTTTTCTCTCTCCCCAGCCCATCGTATATGCCTCTCTCTCTCTTGCCTGAATGAGGAGAGGAAAATTGCCTCTTTTCCTTCAGGCCCCTGCCGCCCGCCCTCTGCCTCAGGTGCAGTGTGCACGCCCCAACACTCTCTACCCTTCTGTCCCTCTCACAGCTCTCTTTCTATCTCCCTGTGTGACCCGCATATTGCAGCGTGCTTGCTTTCTGCCTGCCATGTCCCATCCACCCCTCCCTCGCTTCCCCCCCCCCTCTTCCCCTCCCCTCCCCTCACCCATTCACCTGCATTCTGGACCCACAGATTGAGGTTGCAGAGGCAGAGGCACGGGAGGGAGCTGTGCTGGCAGGGCTGATGGAGGGAAAGGGAAGGGAAGGCAAGCTTGGATCTCAGAACTGGGTGTTCTCGCCTCCTACCCCTCCCTTCCCCTCTGCTCCCCCACCACCGACCCCCATTCACCAGCATTCTGGACCCACAGTTTGAGGTTGCAGAGGCAGAGGCAGTTTTTGAGAATTCTCAAAAACCAGCTCTTGGCAGAGGCACGGGAGGGAGCTGTGCTGTGCTGGCAGGGCTGATGCAGGGAAAGGGAAGGGAAGACATGTTTCGAGCCATCTTAAAACTCAATACACTTCTTGCTATTTCTCGCTTCTCTCCCCCCATTCCTCCTTCCCTCCATTCACCAGCATTCTGGATCCGCAGATTGAGTTTGCAGAGGCAGAGGCACGGGAAGCAGTCGTCCCAGCAGGGCTGATGGAGGGGAAGGCGGCACTGCTGTCTCCGTATGATATGAAGCGATTGGAATCGTACGCCAACAACCTGGTCGATTATCACCTGGTAGGTTGTAACATTCCAGAGCCCACGCCCTGGTAAGGATGCCCTGCTGGTTACACCCTAGATGGTTGAAGATGCGCTGCTGTCGCCATACGATATGAAGCGACTCGCGTCGGACGCCAACAACAACCTGGTTGATTATCACCTGGTAATGATGCTTTACTAGGAGCACCCCTGACATTACAAGTCGCTCTCGTGCAATTTTCACTTGCACTTCACTCAAAGCAACGCAAGTTTCCTTCCCCCGTACCCACTCCTCCCAACCTTCCATGTCACCACCCCCTGGTTGCTTTCCCCAAATCAGATCATGGAACTTATTCCCTTTCTAGCCCGCTTCTACTTCCTCATTCTCATCCCTTCTTCACTCTCCCACTTTTCCCCTCCTCTCCCCCCCTTCTCCTCTACCCCCCTTCTCCTCTCCCCCCCTTCTCCTCTCCCCCCCTTCTCCTCTCCCCCCCTTCTCCTCTCCCCCCCTTCTCCTCGCCCAATTAGATCATGGACCTCATTCCCCCACTTGCCCGCCTATACTTCCTGGGTCTCATCCCTGCATCGCTCTCCTATGCCCAAGCTGCCATTCTGCTCTCCTTCGGTCTACAGCATCACGAGCTCTCCACCATTGAGGTACGGCTGTAGCGTATATTGGCTGTAGCAAGCTGGCTGTAGCACACCCACGAATGTCATTCTGTTACGCCTGTAGCGATTTGTGTGGCTTTTTTTGTTTTTTTTTTTTGGTAATGACCACCTTTCATCTGCATTGTCATAAACGGGCGAGCTTTTATTCTTCCCACTCGCTCACTTCCTCATTCCTCTGGCCAAATCTCAAACAGGCGAACCTTCGGCTGCCCGGGACGCAAGTTCTTGCCCTGTTCAACAAGGCGATTCGGAAGATTCACAGTGTTCTGTACGCTGCTGCTGCGCGCACCATAGAGGCTGCTCTGCCCAGGATCAAGGAGGTATGGATGTGCTGCCCTCCTCCACCGTTCCTGTGTCTCTGCTTTATGAGATCTTTGACTGCTCTGGCTGATGCTGCTGCCGCTGCTGCTGCGCGCACCATAGAGGCTGCTCTGCCCAGGATCAAGGAGGTACGTCAGTGCTGTATCCCTCGTGTTTTGAGTCGACTCAAAACACGTGCTGTATCTCTCTGCTGCTCTACTTCTACTCCCCTGCTGTATGTCAGCCTTCCCCTCCATTTTCCTTCGTCCCCCACCTATCTTGTTCGCCGTCCTCTACCCTGCCTCTCCCCGACTCAACCTGCCTCTCCCCCGACTCAACCTGCCTCTCCCCCGACTCAACCTGCCTCTCCCCCGACTCAACCTGCCTCTCCCCCGACTCAACCTGCCTCTCCCCCGACTCAACCTGCCTCTCCCCCGACTCAACCTGCCTCTCCCCCGACTCAACCTGCCTCTCCCCCGACTCAACCTGCCTCTCCCCCGACTCAACCTGCCTCTCCCCCGCCTCTCCCCTCCCCACCAGGTGGACCTGCATCCCCACCTCCAGTCAGTGGATGAGGTCCTGGCAGAGGCAGCAAGTCAGCCTTTTGCTCTGCTGAGCTCCTGTCCTCTGCCCCCTCCCCTTCCCTCCTCTGCCTCTCCACTGCCTCTCCGTTCTCTCCTCCCCACCAGGTGGACCTGCGCCCGCACCCCCAGTCAGTGGATGAAGACCTGGCAGAGGCAGCGAGTCAGCCTTCCCCTCCATTGCCCCTGTCCTCCGTCCCCCACCTCCCCTCTTCCCCTTCCTCTCCCCTTCCTCTCCTCTCCCCTCTTCCCGGGCCTGTCTTATCCCCACCAGGTGGACCTGCGCCCCCACCCGCAGTCAGTGGATGAGGATCTTGCAGAGGCAGCAGATCAGGCCAAGGTGAGTCAGTCGAGAGATAGACTTGTTTCTTTCATTTGCCACCTCACTATATCCATGGCGAAGCAATTTTAACTCTTTAGCTGCAGTGCCGAGGGCTGTGGTTATTGCACTATGTAAACATGATATTGTTTTTCTATGACTGTTGCCCCTGTAACAGAAGGTGATCAAATCCCGGCTGGAGGGGGCGGCAGAGCCTGGCACAGCCACCCTGCTGACGTCACTGACACCTGGACAGATGCAGGAGTTTGCGATCGACGGCCGAGATCAAGACTTTGAGGCTGCGATTGCTGCAGGAGGGGGGAAGCTTCCAGGAAGCGGTGTGCTGAGTATCAAGGCACAGGGAGGAGGAAAGAAGAGGGGTGGTGGTGGGGATGGGAATTTGGATGGTGGTGGTGAGGGGGGGAAGAAGAGGATGAAGGGTGGGGCAAAAGGCAAGGGGAAGGGTAAGGGAGGACGAGGGTAAGCCTAGGCAGGGTGATTAATCAAGTGTCGCATGATTACGCACAGCGTGTCTGTATGCTTTACCCGTAAAAGTTTGGGGAAAGAGAGAACAAGCACTAAGAATTTTGTGTCCGGCAATCATTGAGTTTTTTTTTCATTTGATAACTTTCTACAGTGAGCACATCCGCCGAGGCAGGCCCAGCTACTACTTATTTCAATACCGATGCTTCCGTTTGGGAAAATATGTGAATGGTAACTTACATGGGGCACTGTAACACGTACGATAACGATTTCATCGCGTTTGGTAGCCCACCTAACGCATTTGGTAACTCGCTTAACGCGTTTGGTAGCTAGCTTAACACGTTTGGTAACTATACACTAGCAGCCGATCACGCGAATGGTAACTTTGATGAAATCAGCTCTGACATGACCCTGATTTGACGGTTTCCCGCTCGCGCCAAACCAAACAACGAGCTCTGATGCACCCACGTCCTCCTGAACCACGTGCGCCACTCAACCGAACCAGAACCAAGCGTATTGTACACCGCGTGCACACTAAGATGGCGTTCCTGAGATGGGCGAACTTCCGAACTTCCCCCAGCAACAGTGCACAGAACACGTGCCTAAAGCATGGCAGCAACGGGGGGAGTGAATCTGGACGTCGCATGAGTTGGGCGGTGAGGGTCGTGCGATTTTTGCGCATGGCAACTTCCCCTGACGCCCAACGTCAGAACCAATGACGGTTTTGACTGTCACAGGACCGAGTCGTGACTGGGTTTGGCACGTTCAGAAAGGTCAAAGAATACCGTGACAAATGGAAAAGGAAAAACAGGCGCCAATCCAACAGCAGAAAGCAATTTCGTTTCACGGTCACCACACAGCACATGCTCTACAACCTACATAACCAACCTACCCAGCACGCTCGGAATCGCCACTTTCCCCCCAGACTGTTTTCGACCGTGTTATGGGAGATTGTGGTCGTTTGGAATTGGCGCATGAACGTTGAATACGGAAGCATGTGATTGGTTGGAAGTTTTCTCACTTGTTTTTCGCACAATGAGACTGACATCGCATGGCACGTGTGGTGGGTGTGCAAAATACCCAGGACTGCCACGCTGGACCAATAGTGCAGCACTCCGACGTTCCCCCATCTCAGGAACGCCATCTAAGATCAACCCAACCTGCGAACTCCATCAGATTGCTCCCCGTCATCCTGCTCTAGCCCTACTCGACACTAACTTAGTAAGGACTTCTTAGCAGACTTATTACCCGGCCATAAAATCCACGGAAGCTCGAGTTACAGCTGATCCGTATCAGATGTGCGTCTCACTCCCTTTCTCTTCCCTGTATGCTTAACCTACTCGAATCTATCCATTCTTCGAAATTCTGAATGATCGCCGCTGGGCGCATAGCGCCTGTCTCGCGGCCAGCGCTATGCGCCCAGCGGAATGCTCGTCGCTGGGCGCATAGCGCGCATCTCGCGGCCAGCGCTATGCGCATTCCGCTGGGCGCATTGCGCCTCTCTTGCGGCCAGCAATGCGCTCAGCGGATTGCTCACCGCTGGGCGCATTGCTCACCGCTGGGCGCATTGCTCACCGCTGGGCGCATTGCTCACCGCTGGGCGCATTGCTCACCGCTGGGCGCATTGCTCACCGCTGGGCGCATTGCTCACCGCTGGGCGCATTGCTCACCGCTGGGCGCATTGCTCACCGCTGGGCGCATTGCTCACCGCTGGGCGCATTGCGCCACTTATATTGGTAATAAATCACGAATCAACCTGAGAAGCTGGGGATAGGAAGAGAGAGTGACAGAATGGGCAAAAGCCAGAGAAGTACCGTAGGCGGAAAAGGGCAATGGCCACCAGTGTTTGTCCACAGTAGGAGCACAAGATGGTGTTGACAGTGAACGTTATGTACATTCTAAAAGTCAAGCCTAGTGTGACAAGCATGACAATAATAGGTGAGCATCTAGTGAGCATACAACAAAATGGCCCAGCTTGCCTAGTGTGTCATCATGATTGAAAAGTCATGGTTGGTGGGCATTTATACAACAAGATATGCGAAGGGAAATGTTATGTTCGTGTTTGCCATGCATCGGGATTTCTCGAACTCCATAACCACATACAGATGCATCTTGTCGCGAAGACATGTGTATTTGTCCTGTGATGTTTGGGTAATCGTAGTTCTACAAACCTGGATCTAACAATGGTTTGAATTACAACACGCCATTAGCTTATACAGCATCTCACGATCTACACTGTGCCCATGCAAATGTGCCAACAAGTCATCTTGCTTTTCATGATATCTCATTGCACAACATCGCTATCTCATAACAACCTCTACCCAGACAATTGCACGGCTGGCGGTACACCAAACGTCATGCTCTAATCTTGCCACCGTTACCTCGAGGCTGCCGCTACCAACTCCCTTTATGACAACACGAAATGAGCACAGCCCATCCTCCTCATTGTGCAACGCCACAGTCGGATGGCGGTGCACTGTGTTACACTGCAACACTATGAGGTTTGGGCGGCTATAAAGAAAGCGCGGCACAATCATATGCTGCCGACAAAACAACAACAGTTCCTCCCTCGCCACGCTTGCATTAGTGTAGACCTTCCCTAGGTAGATGTTGACTGCATCACCCATACGCTGTTGAAGGAGTATGGGGGTTCGAAAATAGGAGGAATGGAGTAGAACTATTATGCTACATATCCAGGTGTATTGGTACAGGTGTTAATCACAGTTGCTTTGTTATAGCAATGGATATAATACAAACTGATCTTCAGGAATGAGGTCGCACCTGGAACGCTGGATGCAAGACATGATCACCACAGCAGAGGTCTCAAGCTCTGAACGATAATGAGAGTAGGTGAGAGTAGGGCTATGAGGTCAGATAAGCTGACGAGTGAGGGCAGTGTTGCACGCCCCCCAAGGTAGCACAGCAGCAGCACACGGCTGCCCGGAGCCCGGTTGGGAAAGAGCTCCGAGCTGTAGATGGTACCTGGTGAGGGGTCAAGGGGTGTGAGAGGGAGGGGAGGGAGGTCATACGGCAATGGGAGAGAGCAAGGAGGATGAGGCTCGGTTGGAAGACAGGAAATAGAGCAGGCGAGGGAGGGCAGGCACAGACAGTAGTATGAAGCACAGTTGGGACAGAGGAGGGTGGAGCATGTATCAGAAGTGCCTGGACTTGAAAAAAATGGGCAGTGGTCACAGCAAGGAGCATGGAGCCCAGGAAGGAAAAAAGTGAGATATATCGTGGAACAGAGTAGTATACTAGATGCGGTCTGCCGGTATCGCCTAGGCTCCCCCCTCTCTCAACCATCCCTTTCGTCCATCCCTCCCGCCCATCCCTCTCGCCCATCCCCTCAACCATCTCTGTGAACCATCCCCCAACCAACCTCAAGCTTGCCTGGCAACCTATGCCTCACCCAGAGTGACGATTCCCTGGGTGCGCGGGTGCAGCTGCCCAAAGCCCTTGAGCTCCCTTCACTTCCCACCCACCTCTTGTTTAGTACTCCGTAGGCTCCTTCATCCCACTCCTCCCCAAACATCCTACTTAACCAGAGTGACGATTCCCTGGGTGCGCGGGTGCAGCTGCCCAAGGCACGTTTGCAAGAGAGCAGGGGGAATGCTCACCGAGTAGGGCTTGAGGAGGTCAGCAGCAACGTATGTGGGCACGGTGAGCAGCAGGTAGCGTGCAGAGAGCTGCTTGGCGCCCTCGGGAGTGTCGTAAGACAGCAGGAAGCTGCTGCCACCTGGCCGCTTCTCTTGGCTGTCAGCTTCCACCCGAGCCTCACTCGGTCGTCGAGCCTGGAGGGCAGGTTCCGAAAGGGTAGGTCGGTGGAACGAAATGTGATGTGGGAATTATGTGATCATGTGTTCTTTATAAAACGATTTAGAGTGGTGTGGTCTGGTGTGGTGTGGTGTGGTGTGGTGTGGCATAGCATGGCATGTCATGGCATGTCACAGTGGAAACCTATTATATTATGTGATGGAGGATCATGGCGCCATGTCGCATAGCAATGCAAGCCATGCCATGGCATGGCATGGCATGGGATGGACACCTACAATAGGAGAGGTTAAGAGGGATTGGGCGGAATGGGAAAAGAATGCAAGGTAGAGAATGGCTAAGCATCGGACGGGAAATTAATGCATAAGCACAGAGATTGAGGGGGGATAGGAGGGGACGTTGTGCATTTGGGATCGATAAAGAGGGAATCACAGGAGATAGGAGAGAAAAAGAGGGGGAGAGGGGGTAGGGTTAGGGATTAGAGATGAAGTGAAGGGACAAGAATTTTTATTTGCAATGTTTGAGGGCCGGCAAAACTGCATGTGAGGGAAAGATACGGTGTGATAGTAAATGAGTGGGCATCAACCCACCGCTGGGTGATTGGATGGCATGAGATGACAGAAGAAGGGATGCGAAACAGAATGCAACAGAGTGAGAGAGTGTGATAGGTGACGGTGTAGCAGGGGAGGGCATAAGAGAGAACAGGAAAGAGGAGTGGAGGGAGGGATTGGAGAAGGCATAGCATGTGGGGTAATGATCGCGTATGAAAGAGAATGATCTGGGGTACCTTGTCAGGATGGGGGAGGGTATAGTAGGGGAGGGTATAGCAGATGAGGGCATACGTGGGAATGTGCGTCGGAATGTGTGGGAGAATTTGATGCCCAAATGGAGTAAGACAGGGAATTAAACTGCTGGAGATGCCATAAGAGTGGATGGGAGGGACTATGAAAGGGGATAACATGATAAGATGTTGGTCATAGCAGTGAACAACATAAGAGGGGATGTAAATGAGTATGTGGGGGGATGAGGACGGGGTTGGATAGGGATGGGAACAGCCATGGCGGCAGTAAGGGAACATGGGAAACACAAGGACCCGTTCCAGGGTTGTCGCTTGCTCTGGGCCAAGAACTTAACGGGCTGAGGTGCCCTGAATTCAGCCCTTATTTATCCGGGTTGAGTCAGATTTCAACACTTCGATCCAGGGCTACACATCCTTCTGCACTTGAGCGTTAACACATCGTGAAAGTAGATGACCTTCAAATACACGTAAGGGCGGCGGTACATAGCAGATCAATAAGCCCATCTACACTGCAACGGGTGAGGGAGAAGGTATGGAGCTTCTACGTAAGCAGGGGAGACATATCAAGGGAAACGAGGGGGTAGGGTGGTAGGTGAGGGCTCTGAGCGTATACGTGAAATCCGGGTTAGGCGTCAAACCAGCCCGTAAGGAAAAGGGGCTGGCCTCAAAGCCAGCCCTTGAATTCTCTGAATTGGGCCCAAACCAGCACGTGAATTCAAGGGTAAAAAGGGCAAATGCCCTTGTAGCGACAGGCCTGACCCGTTCCCATGTCATTGCTGTTCCCATGTCACCACCTCTTTGTCAGACCCGTTCCCTTGCTGCATGGGAACAGCCTGAGATGGGATAACGAGAGTTTCAGTGGATGAGTGAAATTTGAGGGCAGACTCACTCACGGGAGCAGGAGAGGGTGTTAGAGGGTATGTTTGGGGATGGTCAGGCATGTGGGGTACTAGTAGCGTATGTGAGAGAATGAGAGGGGACTAGAGGGCAAGATATGCGACAACATTGGATAACAGGTGATGAAAGAGAAAGAACTTTTAAAAGATGGCTGGATAAGGGGTGGTGGTAAATCTCGTTCTGGCAGAAGATAGATAGAGAGGAATAACAAGCAGAGATTAGGTAGTAGATTTAAAGGCAGAAGCAATGGGAGGACATAAAAGGGGATGAGATGGTATGAATAAGGAGGGGCTTGCATGAGAGGACAAAAATGGGGATGAATGGTAGGACATGGGATCAGAATGAGAGGGGATGAGAGAGGAAGATAGGGGAGGGGACAAAACCCGACGGGATAACAAGTCTGTATAGGGAATGACTAAACCCGGAATTCGAGGGCTGGATAGTGGACGAGAGGGGTTTGAGGGGGAAGAGTAGGGCGAGAGAAAAAACGAGAGGGAATGTGGGGGGCTGAATACAAGCGTGCTTCCTCCATCATCCCCCACTCTTTCCCCCTCACTCAGCGGTCTGGCCGGGTGCTGGCCAGGTTCGGCCAGGCCTGGCATGTTAGGCCTGGCCCGGTTTGGCCAGGCCTGTTCATCCCCATGGAGCCTTTGGGGTTTGGGGTTTGGGGGGAGGTGGGCAAGGCAGCCATCCCAGTGAATTCCGATCCCCGAGCTCATCCCGTGCCATCCCATACTGATATTTGCATGTGCATGGTCTAAAACATGCCCGTTCTATTCTGAAACATGCACGTGCATGGCCTGACCTGACATAAGGCAAGGGATTGCATGATCGGGGATGAGAGGGTAAAATACTCGGCCTGCGGTCTCTCATTCTGCGCTGGGCGCATAGCTGGCCGCGTGAGAGACGCCTAAGGCAGGGAAGTTGAAGTGCAGTGAGTGAGTCCCTAAACCTGGATGAGGTTCCACGAGCGGTGAGCCCCCACGGGGGAGCAGTCACATGTTTCTGGAAGTCATCAAGGGCAGGGCAGTTCAAGTAAAGTGAAGTGAGGGAGTGGGCGCACCTTGACGATGTTGGTGAGAAGGTCGTATGGCTCAAAGCGGAATGGCTGTGAGGCGAACAAGCCTGCAAACACCTGCTGTAGTACCGGTGGGGAGGGAGAGGGGGGAGAGAGAGGAGAGAGAGAGAGAGAGAGAGAGAGAGAGAGAGAGAGAGAGAGAGAGAGAGAGAGAGAGAGAGTGGCGGGGTTGAGTAATAGCAAGGAAAGGGTGAGCTCACCGCTGAGCGCATAGCGCTGGCCGCGAGAGAGGCGCAATGCGCCCAGCGGATTGCTCACCGCTGAGCGCATAGCGCTGGCCGCGAGAGAGCAGCTATGCGCCCAGCGGCAAGGATTCCGCAGGGCGAATAGCGCAGGCCGCGAGAGAGCAGCTATGCGCCCAGCGGCAAGGATTCCGCAGGGCGAATAGCGCTGGAGAAAGAGGCGCAATGCGATCAGCGGTGAGCAATCCGCTGAGCGCATTGCTGGCCGCGAGAGAGGTGCAATGCGCTCAGCGGTGAGCAATCCGCTGAGCGCATTGCTGGCCGCGAGAGAGGCGCAATGCGCCCAGCGGAATGCGCATAGCTTGGCGCATAGCGCTGGCCGCTAGATGCGCGCTATGCGCCCAGCGGTGAGCAATCCGCTGAGCGCATTGCTGGCCGCGAGAGAGGCGCAATGCGCCCAGCGGTGAGCAATCCGCTGAGCGCATTGCTGGCCGCGAGAGAGCTGTGATGCGCCCAGTGGTGAGCAATCCGCTGAGCGCATTGTTGGCCGCGAGAGAGGCGCAATGCGCTCAGCGGTGAGCAATCCGCTGAGCGCATTGCTGGCTGCGAGAGAGGCGCGATGCGCCCAGCGGTGAGCAATCCGCTGAGCGCATTGCTGGCCGCGAGAGAGGCGCAATGCGCCCAGCGGTGAGCAATCCGCTGAGCGCATTGCTGGCCGCGAGAGAGGCGCAATGCGCCCAACGGTGAGCAATCCGCTGAGCGCATTGCTGGCCGCGAGAGAGGCGCAATGCGCCCAGCGGAATGCGCATAGCTTGGCGCATAGCGCTGGCCGCTAGATGCGCGCTATGCGCCCAGCGGCGAGCATTCCGCTGGGCGCATAGCGCTGGCCGCGAGATGCGCGCTACGCGCCTAGCGGCGAGCATTCCGCTGGGCGCATAGCGCTGGCCGCGAGATGCGCGCTACGCGCCCAGCGGCGTGCATTCCGCTGGGCGCATAGCGCTGGCCGCGAGATAGGCGCTATGCGCCCAGCGGCGATCATTCAGAATTTCGAAGAATGGATAGATTCGAGTAGGTTCAGCATATAGGGAAGAGAAAGGGAGTGAGACGCACATCTGATACGGATCAGCTGTAACTCGAGCTTCCGTGGATTTTATGGCCGGGTAATAAGTCTGCTAAGAAGTCCTTACTAAGTTAGTGTCGAGTAGGGCTAGAGCAGGATGACGGGGAGCAATCTGATAGAGTTTGCAGGTTGAATTGATCTAAGTGTGCACGCGGTGTACAATACGCTTGGTTCTAGTTCGGTTGAGTGGCGCACGTGGTTCAGGAGGACGTGGGTGCATCAGAGCTCGTGGTTTGGTTTGGCGCGAGCGGGAAACCGTCAAATCAGGGTCATGTCAGAGCTGATTTCATCAAAGTTACCATTCGCGTGATAGGCTGCTAGTGTATAGTTACCAAACGTGTTAAGTGTAAGGAAATTTCCTAATTCCTTACTGAGGCACCGCTTACGCGTACATTTCCAACTTTCGGAGTTCAGGCTCGGTCCGACGACCTCGCCTCCCGAACGTCCTCCGCGTCGCCTTCGGGTTTTCCCAAACCCAAACCTACACCCAACCTCGCACGACTTCGCGACCTCAGGCTTAGCTAGCCTTGCTATATTATGCCTAGGCCCCGATGGTTGCTAAGTAGTTGTAATCACTTCCGCGATATTGCATTCTGCGCACTCTTCTTTCATACAACTCATAACACCTGGTATCAGAGCTACTTTCCTAGGTTACCCTCCACTTTCCGGGGTAGTTTAGTACGGGGGTGCGATAGGTTTGGTGGGCTGCAAAGCGGTCGGCTGAGAGATAGATACGATTATCTCGCTCCGACTAATAGCGTTTGCGCCTTCATCAAAACCAGAAAAATCGCTGTTAACCCCCTGCCCGTTAGACGAAGCCTGCGACACATGGACCAGGCGGAGTTAAACGAGCTCATGCAACAGTTTCGGGCGCTGCAGGCCAACATGCAGACTATGTCTGGCGAGTTGGAGCGCCAGAGGGAGGAAAACGCCGAGCTACGCCAGACGCGAGGTGAAGCGCGTCAGGAGTCGCCCGTCGTGGATGAAGCAGGGAGCAGTTTCGTGCCTAACGACGAGGTCCTCAGCGAGCTACAGAACTCGCTGGACGCTGAAGACGAGCGGGCAGCACGAACGCGACGAGCACAAGGGACGTAGGAACAACAGTCACAGCCGAGGCAACAGTCGCAGACGACGCAACGACAGGCACCAGCGACAACCCCGGTGATGGCTTCAATGGCGCCCCCGATACATGCAGCAGCAACAGTCTCAACAACTGTTAAAATAAAACCGACGAACCCGCCCCCGTTCAACCCCAGCGACAAAGCCGTCACTGTGTCAGCTTGGTTGTTCGGTGTAGAGGTGTTTTTCAATGCTGCGCAAATTGCTGACGATGCTACCCGCATTAATTTTGCAGTGTCACTATTACGAGGACCGGCGTTGGAATGGTGGAAGCGAACTCTTCAGCCAGAGGGGGCTCCGGCAAGGATATCACGCGCGAACGACGGGACCTGGACAACTGTCACGCAACAGGCAACTACAATCTTCGGAGTGGCCACGATACGCACATGGACGGAGTGGGGCGCCGCGCTGCGAAGCAGATTCGAGCATGTATCCGCCTCGGATTCTGCTCGCATGAAGATGCGTACCTGGAAGCAGGTGGCGTCGGTCCAAGATTACACAGCGACGTTCTGCAATTTGGCTGACCAAGTGGACGACATGAGCGACGCGG